ACGAGTCAAAAGTTAATGTGCAAGTTTTCAACTGCATGGGAGAGAGTCAGCACCCCTAACCCTGAATTGTTCAGGAGTCAACTGTAGTAAAATACAGCAGTACCTGGCATGTTGTGAGTCCTTAGAATGCTAATGTTATTATTAACTGAGCAGCTACTACAGGGCAGATAGTAGGGAAACAAGGATGAAAAAGAGGCTGCCCAGTTCCCAAGGAGTGTACATTCCAGTAAGGATTATATGTTAACAAGTAAGTGAACTGAAGTGTTACAGAGCCGCAGACCGAAACAGAGAGAGAGAGAGAACACACAAATTAACATATAACAGATGCAAACAGGCACACACAGACGCACACACACACGTGTGCACATCAACTGGCAACTGGTGAGTTAACAAACAAGAAAGTGCTCTTCACCTTGGAAGAAGGGAGGCTGGGAAAAGTAACAAAACTGAGTCTTACAACATGAATAGGTGCTTGCCAGGCAAGATGGTACCGGGACCTCCAGGAAATTAAGGGGTGTACGAAGAGGCAGAAAACAATACTCACTCGCTTATTCATTCAGTGAATGTTTATCAAACGCCTTCTATGTGCTTGGCACAGTTCTAAGTACCAGGATACAGCAGTAAATGAGACTGACAAGGCTTTTGCTTTCACTGAGCTAGTATTTTAATGGAGGAGACTAACAATAAACCAGTGAACAAATATATAAAGCAAAGAGCTAGGAATAAACACAGTGGGTAGATGGCTAAAGTGAGACTGGGGGCAGACTCCCTGACTAAAGTGTAGAGAGTGAGAGATGTGAGCAGAGCTAGAGGGGAACTCCATTTGCCACCCCATTTTCTCTGCAGAGGACGTTCCCTGAACTCTCCCGTCCTCTTATTCCCTCCGTTTTTCTTTCCCAAAGATGTGCAGTGAGGATCGGGGTGGGAGCTAAAGCTAGCATGGTGGTCCATGCCTCTCCCTGGGTAATGTTAACTCCACTGGGCACAGTTAACCTACCACTACGCACAGTCAGAATTCTGAGCACAGGAATGGGGTGGTGAGGTGGATTTTGGTGTCTTTCTCCTTCTTTCTTCGCACACACAGTGGCCTACTCAAAGACTCAAAACTCTCCTGAAGGTGAACTGTTACCAGGCCCAGACTGGGGAATATGGAGGTAGAAGTCCATTTTTGGCTCTCAACCCAAGATACATTTTCTAATTCAGTTAACTGTTATCAATCAAAAAAGTTCATTTTGGCCTCCATCTGCCTTATTACACTTGTCTTATTTCTCAGTTGGCTTAGAACTTGGGAAAGGAGGAGAACTCTTAAGATAAAAGTTTTTATACAATAAAAGCCTTCCTTCTCCCAACAGACACCTCAAAACTAAATTAGGAACCACTATCCAAATCTTTCAAACCTGTCACCTTAATGAAAACTCCTTCACGTCTCTTACTTAATAGCTCCAAAGACATTGCTCAGTATTTGACTGAAAAGTCTGGCCCAAACAGTATAATAAGGCGAATTCAATAGAAGTAGTGAACACTGGGGGGCTGGGCTGAGGAAAGAGTGATTTCAGTGACAGCGTGAAAATACAGGCTGCACAGTTCATGGCTGGTAGCCACAAAGAGGAAGATGGGGAAATGTGAAGCCTTGAGATATTTTTACCTTGTGATTTCATATCTACTGAATACATGTTTTTAAAAAACACACTAGAATAAAGAATTTTTTAATTTCTCTTTTCTCTGAAGAATTCAAAAAACACTCAACTTATTTACATACTTGCTTCACAACTTCCTTATGAGACAGGATGGGACTATATTGTTTTCATGAAGAGATATTGATGGCATGGTTACTATCTACAGGGCTCAGTTCTGAGTATCGCAGAAATTTAAAAAAAAAAGACAAAGAATAAGATATAGTTCCTGACCCTGAAGGACTCATCCTCTACCTAGAAAGATTGCTCAGGCCCCCAAAACTTATGCATCAAAAAAGGAAATCCAAGACAAGTGTCAAGTAGACGGCAAAGATTTTTCAAAATGCTTCAGGAGTTGGGGTGGGGGAACCTCTCTTGAAATCAAGAATAATTACCTGGCGGGTCTCACAGATGAGAAAAATGTTAAAACCCCAGCTACACACACTGGAGCAACCACAACCAGGACCTGCAGCTCGGGCATAAGCTCCCAGCAGACACGCAGTGCATGCTGCACCTCCTCTGCAGCCCCATGTGCCCGGCACTGGTTAGTGTCTCCTGAATCTGCGGAGCACATTTAGTGGGTGCTCTGTCTCCCCAGACTGCACACTGCTCTGTTTCACTGCCCACATTCCAGCCAGGAGCAGCTGACCACACTGGACAGGAAATGCTGAACCCACTGCACCTTCTCACAGAGCGACTCCGCTGCAGGGAGGGTGAAAAGCACAGACTCTCCACCTACTTTTGCTCACTAAGGCAGAGAGGTTCTGCCAGCCCTGCTGGCACACCCAGGGGCCTGCAGAATTTTACTATAGACACTGCCTTCTCCTTCATCCAGTCCCAAGCTCCAGAGAGAAAGGAGGCAAGTGTTCACAGCAGGGATAGATGGTAACAATTACGAACTCCACATGCTCTACAGAAGGGAAAGTCAGCCCAGGATAGGGTAAAAATAAATGGGGGTGTCAGGGCTGCACTTGTCCTGCCCAGGATATGCTGGCTGCTACAGTCATTGTATTTTTTCTGGCTGCACAGACATGTTGCTATGGAACCAATACATGCCACTGCTACTTGGCCTCTAGCAAATAAAATCTCAGCGCTGGCAAGAGCATTTCCCTAGGTTTCCCTTAAAGGGATACCATTGATGGTGAGCACAGTGCAAGCTTAGCTAAGAACAACAGCAGCATTGTCTCAGGGTCCAGCCCTGCTGCACAGCATGAAACGGAGCCCAGCCACTCGTGTTTGACAAGGTATACAGGTATGTGGCATGTGGATTTGCATGGTACAAACCCAAAGTGTGGGGACCAGCCCTGCAGCTGCTTTTTAAGTAAGAAACTCATGGCCTCTGTTTGTATCGAGTTCCCCTGCCAGCCCCTGCCACTGGTAGAAGCAAAAAGCTTATCATATGTTGGATAATAATTTGATGGCTCCTGACTGTCAATGTCAAATGACTTATGACCCCAGCAGAGCCACAAGTGGTCAGCATCAGCTCAGGTGGTCTTATTTTATCCCTTTACCATTTCTTAACCCTCTCTACCAGTTCATTCTTTACTGAAAGAATAGTACAAGTAGGCATGAAATCCGGCACCTCCTCACTTTCTGAAGGTCCTTAGTTGTCCTCTATTTTAGTCTTATGAGCCTCCTGATGCCACAGAGACCCTTAAGCCCCCTGACCCACCCACCAAGAGCAGCAGATCTCAACGACCCATGCCGTACGGTGCTGTGCTCTGGGCATAAACCTTTTGGGTTTTTTAAGGTAAGAGGAGGAAATGGGAACCCTTGGGTTCACACTTCTAATGAATGCACACTCATGCATACCAAGCATATGGGGCCAGGAGAGATCTATGTCAGAGTCATAAGTCGGTGAATCAGCAACCCGTATTCTCAATTCCGCTCAGGATGTTGGCAGAAAGCAGACCATCTCTGTACCGTAATAAGGAGACACATTAGGTTCCTTAAAAACAACTGTGGTTAGGGCTGAGAAGAAGCCTCTACGTGTTAAGGTAAAATGATTATGTTGACGAGTGGAATGAAATAGTAGACTCGGGCTCTCAGTACTGCACTTGAGCCAATGCCTGGTGGGATAAAATGTTTTGGAAACAAGTGCACTTAGCTCACCAATGTCAGTGACCGCGATCCAGAGCCAGATCTAGCACAGGAATCTTTGACAGAACCATGGGCAAGTCCACCTTCTGGGATTCCAGTGGAGAACTGTGTTCTCACACTTCTCTCTATCACACTCACAACTGAATGCTCGTGTGAAAAACAGTATAGCTTTTTGTTTTTTTAAATGAAGAAATGTTCCTCTGAAAGTCTCTATGATGGCAGGCCAGGTTCGCACTATGCTATGAGAAACCTGTTAAGCATTACCCTGCAGGTGCAGGAAGTCCTGAGTGGGGGTGTGCAGGGCTGCAGCTGGCCAGTGCACAGCTGCATCACAATCTCTAGCTGCAACACAGATTTAGCCCCAAGTCTCCCCGCATAATGCGGCATTGCAAATGCAGTGGTTTGGGAAAGGTGGAGAGAAAATGTGCCCTCTCAGAGGAGGTCCATCACAGAAGTACTCCAGGACTGTCCCTTCCACTGCTTCTCCTGGTAGTAGGCTAGTGTGGTTTCTAGAAAATTAGACAGCTAAATTTGGACACTCCTAACACTTGCCTTGGATGGATGTTACTGTTAGTTTATCGGTATTACCTCAGGTCCAGCCACCTATAACTCTGTATCCTTAGAAGGAACTGGGATTCAAAAGACAGTTCTGTGGAGAGGCCTGGGGGAACCAGAGACCATGCAGCTGGGAGTCAAATGCCTCTCTCGTGACCCCAGCCCCACTGCTGTCTGAGAAGCCCTCAGGCCAGGGGCGTGAAGCCCTGTGGGCCGTGGTAACCGTTGTAAATAGGGGCTTTGGCCAGATGGACTCTCGGGTCGCATCTAGTGCTCTCTCTGCCAGGGCATTACTGAAAGGGCAGCGCGCCATGTGGACAAAACAAATGGTTTCCCTTGCCCACGGCCGTGTTTCTGTGCAACAGTCACTGAAAAAAAGAAGCTTCCTCTGTCATCCTCCCTGCAAGCTGTTCAAGGTAACAGCAGTGATGGTGGCAACTCACAACAGGCAACACGTGTGAACAGCAAAAAGAAACAGCAGAAAAACACAAGGGGGAAGCCACCGCCTCGGAAGGGAGACAGAGATGTGACGAGTAGAAGAACATCTTGGTTCCAAAGGGAAGAAAACGTCTGGAGAATATGTGCTGTCAGGCACTGTTTCTTAGCACGGCAGTGACTAGATACGATTTTGATGAGTGTAAAAATACATAAAACAGTCAAAGGATCACTCACCCTACGAAGACAGCAGACTGGTTTCTCTGCACCCAGAAATGAACTAATTTCTTTGGAAAACTGGAAGAGAAGAAGATTTGCACAACATTAAGTCCATTCTGTAACCCAGCACAGGCGAGCAGGCCTAGAGATTATGAGAAGTCCTAGCCCCTGGCACTTTGGCATTTACTAGGTGCACAGTAAATGTCTGAGGAACAGTGGATGCACACTGCTGTGGCTGACTGCATGAATTTTCAAAAAAGGGCTTTGAACAATTAATATCCAGAAAGCAATCCTATAAGTGATTCCTTTATCACAAGAGATGTGAGCATGATGATGAAGGAACATGAACTGTGGTGCTTAAGAAATGCATTTTTAGGTGGGTATTTTAAAATGCCACGTCCACATCCCCACCATGCGGCTAATTGGAGATGTATCAACAAGGAGCCAGAGTGCCCGTGACTGCACTTTGCCCTTTCCCAGATGGAAGACCCACAACTCCACGCATCCCCCACTGAAGTCAGTGACCCCAAGGGACCCTATAATTGGGCTCAGATGGGAATGTGGACTTGGCAGAGAGGCGCTGGGGGCCACGTATCAGGCCGACTGAGTAATCCCGTGAGGAAGCCCCGGTGCCTGAGATAAAGTGTGGGAAAGAACCAAGATGATGTGCACGCTGGAAGAGGAAGCCTGAAAGACAAAGGGAGATAAGGGAGTGACAGCAACAGACTGTGTAATCTATATCACGTAAGGAACCAAGCTCAAGCTCCAAGTTGTAAAAAATTTGCAGAGTGTCTAAAAGATGCCTTTGCAGGTTTGGGGGCTGGGGCGGAGATATGAGGCAAAGCTGGGCTAGTTCCTGAAACAGACAATTTTCACAGGATCCCAAAGCGTTTGGGAGGAAGTCTAGGAGCTCTATGAAGGCCACCGCTCTTCCTCCCTTTTGCTAGAAGGAAGAGAGGTCTGGCCACCAGGGCAGTATGGGGAGTCTTCTCCTCAGCACGTCCACTGGCAGCAGATTCTCAGGCCCAGTTTCTCAGAACCTGAAAGGCATGCCTCATGGTCCCAGAGAGAAGGCGCCACTGTATTGTCAGACTGCGCCAGGAGAGGTGGGGGCTGCCGACATGATGAGATTCTGCCTCTTGAGAAGTTTATACTCTAATTGAAAACATGACAGGTAAACAACACAAGCAGTGAAAGATAGTACACACTGGTAAAACCTCTGAGCACCTTCTTTTTAAAGCAACACTTTACAATGCACTCACATACATTAACCTTTTCATCCTAAAGGCAGACAAGATATCTACAAGAAGCATCGTGAAGACCACAAAACTGATTTCAGAGTCAGACCTGACTCTGAATCACAGCTCCATCACACAACAGCTGTGTGATTCAAGTTACCTAAACTCTCGGCACCCTCCCCTCAGTGGCATAATGGTAATAAAAATACCTACTTCATACAGTGTCTCAAGTTCCTAGTGCAGTGCTTGCTTGGCACACAGATGAGACTTAAAAACAAAAAGCTTTAATGCCATGTGGTACAACATGTCTACATATCTGTAGCACTAGAGAAGGAACACACGGGAGAGATTTTCATAATTCATAATTTACCAAAATGTCAGTACTTGCATTCTTTCCCCCATCCTCCCCGAAATTAGTTAAGAAAAATGAGAACAAAGTAAAACTGTTTACTGTGAATAATTAGATAATGTAGATAAAGCAGAAACCACACAAATAATAGAAATCGGCAGAAGTCCCGTTAATAATTACTATGAACATTTTGGTATACACGGCTCCAGGCTCTCTCCTGTGCTTAGGCACACACAGTATATTACATATATTACATATACATACATACTATTTATTCACAATATACTGTGATAGTCTTCCCATTGTTTTGCAGTCTGAAAACATTTCATCTGATATAGCGTAAACCTCTTTGAATACCAGTACACCCACCTCCATGGCAATTTTTAAGGACATGTGAGAGCACTGCACTGGAAGGAGTGAACATTGAATATGTATTTGTTGAATTTACAGAATCTACCAAAGTGTCCCATATTTATGAGAAAAGACTATATGTGAGGTAGCACGTGGTTCTTTTTTCTACATTTTTGTCAAGATTGCAAAGGCAGATTGTATAAACAAGACGTGTTAACAACAGAGATTGTTTGGTTTAAATGGGAGTAGCTTGAAGAATACTAACTAGCACTTATACATAGCAAATATCACAAGTTACAACATTCAGTGAGTTTCCAATATATTAAGAGGAGACAAAATGTTAAAGACTTGGGCTAACGATGGACAGAGATGCCCATTTCAAGTGGGAGATCCCAGGACTGACAGGGAAGCGTCCCCACTTTCAGTCTGATCACAGTGCATTTACTCAATGACACAGAGAAAGTTAAACTAAAAAGTATTAATTCCTGAGTGACCTTAAAATCATAATCACATTGTATGAACTTCAAGACCTTACAAAAAAACAGACTTTACCATCTTTAGAAGATATCAAGAGTTGGAATGTGTGTGCAGTGTTAATATTTCTAACGTAATTTCCTTCTCAAAGAGAATGGTGGGTTGGTGTAACATTTGTGGCAGTTGGCTTGAGCTGCATGGCACAGCCTGGTACTCGACTAAGAAAACTGTGCTCTACCCTACACATGTGACTGACTAGCAACACTCAGAAAATACCGCCGTTGGGAGGAGGCTGGGAGAGTGAATATATCCTCACAATCAGCAAAGAGCATGGAGCTAATTCCTCCTCCAGTTATGAATGTAACTAACCCTTTCTAAACGCTGCCAACACTGCTCCTACAAGCAGGCAGGCGGGCGCGGGGGTGGGGCCTGGGGAGGCAGGGCAGGGATGGGCAGAAAGCAGCAGAGAAAGAAAGACAGAACATGCTGTGGCAGCAGAGAAATGCCAAATCAGGCACCAACCGGAATATCCTGGAGAGGTCAAAAGTGGAGAAACAAAGTAAGGAAATACAGTTTGATTTCTGAAACCAGAATCTACAATGAATGAACAGGTGAGATAACCTCTTCACATGCTACCTCCCAACAAAAGTTCCCTAAAAATTCAATCCCTTGTCCAGTTTATGCAATTTTCAGGGGAAATGACAATTTTTGGTGGGGTTCATGCTCTTGTAAGAGGCTTCTATTATTCTACTTGACCATGTGAAATAGAATCGGCATTAGGAAATAAGAAGAGAGACCATAAATTCCAGCATCAGACGGAATCAGAGAAAGCATCTCTTTGGCCACTCGCACTAACACTTCACTTCACATGGGACATGGACTAAGCTGTTCTTAATGGATCTCTTTCGATGGTACAATTCAGGAGCCAAAGGAGAGGTCCCTGGATCTAAAATGAACTTCTTATAGGAACAGTTTTTGCTTTGCTTAATCTCTCTTGTGGTCACCGCTTCTCCCTGAGACAGAACCAGATGGTGAAGCTGTGCTGTGTGCTATGTAACGTCCCCATTACTCAGTCAAAGCTGAACGACGCACACTGTTCAATTTGCTTTCCAAGGGACCTTCACATCCTTTGATGGTCTACACGGGATGGCCCAGAACACATTCTGCATCGCAGGCCTCACTATCAAACACTGTGGGTTGGATTCCAACATCCGCATCCAATTGTGTGTCTCTGGTAAGTACAACCTGTCCCCAAACACTGTGCTGATACTATCTATTCCACACTTGCAATATATTTTTGAACTAAAGACTTCGGGAAATTTTGTCTTGCCAATGTATAGTGTCATCCTGAGTAAGCAATGGATTCCTTAATATTAATAACCACCACTTATGAGTGGCTATTTTGTGCCAAGTTTTCATTTATTAGCTCTGATCCTCACAAAACCTCTGTAAAATAGGTTCTATTAGCCCACTGCACAGATGACAAAAACAAGGTTCAGACAAGTAACCTATCCAAGGTCACTTACCCAATAAATGACAAAGCAAGAATTCAAAACCAGGTTTGGCTTAGTTTCACAACCAAAGAGAAAAGAGATAATCATGGCAAGGTGCATGTGGATTTTTAGAGGAAAGTTGCAATATGTAGGAGTCTGTCAAACACAAAAAATAAGCACTTGCTTCCTCTCAATAATCAGATATTACTTTTTCGGGTTATTTTTCAGGAGCAGCAAGCAAGGATGCTAGAATGAAGTTTTCCATGGCACTCAGCAGTAAGTTGTGCTTCAGCCATCCGACAGGTGCCAGACAAGCGTTCTTCAGGCAGAACAGCAGGACCGAAGTGCTGACAGTCGCAGGGACACAAAATGTAGCCTTGGCAAGTCAGTCTAACAGTTACTCTTCATCATTCTGATTATGAGCCACAAGCATGCAATCAACAGCATAGAGACGATCTCAAATGATCTCCATCAGCATTTTACTTAGTTATCACAGCGTGGCAGATGAACACATTCTCATCTGACCTAAACGCAATGTCAGTGACTCAAACACAAGGTATGTGCAGGGGCAATAATGGCACAAGAAACTGGCTTTGCTGAAGGCCACTGATTGTAAGGGATGCATTTTAGTTCATAAACTTTTCCATTTTTTAGGTCAGAATATATAAATAATATTTATGCATTTAATAAATTTATCCGGAGTCTAACTCGATTTAAAGATTTAAGTAAATTTACAAATTCCCCACACTTAATACTACATGTTGTACAATTCTGTACAAGGAGCAATTTTCAAATTTCATTACAAATTTTTGTGGGTTGCATCGCCCCCACTAAATTGTGGCCCAGCTCCAGGAGCATGATATTTATATCATTTACCTCTGTATTCCTAAATCCTACCCTAGTGCCTGGCATATACAGTAGACATGCAAAATTTGCAGAAATGAATAAATTCTAATTGGATCGTCGATAAGAAGGTATGCTTACTAAGTGCTTGACTGACCCCAATCTGTTCTCAGAAGTCACTCATACTTCATAGGGCAGTATCTGAACTTGTTCACGAAATGAAGTGATGGTTGTAAGTACAAACCATGAACTTCAGTAGAGATCTGTCTGTAGGGAGTAAAAACGTACTAATAGAACAACAAGGAAAGGCTGCCCTCATATCAACCAAAG